TCATGCTCTACCGACTGAGTCAGCCAGGCGCCCCAAAGATTTTATTTTTAAATAATCTCTACAACCCTGAGATCAAGAGTTGGATACTCCACCAACTGAGCCAGCCAATCGCCCCTGAAAATGCAATTTTAATTTTTTTTTAACGTTTATTTATTTTTGAGACAGAGAGAGACACAGCATGAACGGGACAGGGTCAGAGACAGAAAGGGAGACACAGAATCTGAAACAGGCTCCAGGTTCCGAGCTGTCGGCACAGAGCCTGATGCGGGGCTCGAATCCACGAACCGTGAGATCATGACCTGAGCCGAAGTCAGACGCTTAACTGACTGAGCCACCCAGGCGCCCCTGAAAATGCAATTTTAAAAAGGGCTTAGGGGTGCCTGGGTGGCTTAGTTTGGTAAAGCTTCCAACTTCAACTTTGGCTCAGGTCATGATCTCACAGTTTGTTAGTTCGAGTCCCGCCTTGGGCTCTGTCCTGACAGCTCAGAGCCTGGAGCCTGCTTCATATTCTGTGTCTCCCTTTCTTTCTCTGCCCCTCCCCTGTTCATGTTCTGTCTCTCTTTCAATAAATAAATAAACATTAACAAAATTAAAAAATAAAAATGAATAAATAAAAAGGGCCTAATAAAGACTATATAATAACCAATAATAAGCCAATCAAGAAATAGACAAAACTCATGTAAGGAAAACTGAAATTTTACTGAGGACTATAAAGTTGTGAACAATGAAAAGAGAGAAATATGTTCCTAGATGGGAAGACTTGATGTTATAAAGATGTCAATTGTCTTCATGTTAATTTATGAATTTTTTTAAATGTTTGTTTATTTTTGAGAAAGAAAAAGACAGTGCAGATGGGGGAGGGGTAGAAAGAGAGGGAGACCCAGAATCCAAAGCAGGCTCCAGGCTCTGAGCTGTCAGCACAGAGCCTGACGCGGGGCTCGAATCCACGAACCGTGAGATCATGACCTGAGCCAAAGTCGGATGCTCAACTGACTGAGCCACACAGGCACCCCTAATTTATAAATTCAAAATAGTCCCAATTAAAATCTTAGCAGGTGTTTTCATAAAACTCTGTAAGCTGATTCCAAAATCATCTGCAAGACAAGATGCCCGAGAATAGCCAAGAAAAGAACAAAGGTGATGTGTGTAATGGAACCACTGCAATTACAAGTTACTGCAGGAGGAACCTATCAGTAGAGGAGAATAGAGAGCCCAGAAATAAATTCATGTTCATATGAGAATATAGTTATGTTAAATGTGGCATTTCAAATTGGTAGAGAAAGAATGCACTATTGAATAAATGGTCTTGGTATAATTGCTTACCATTTGGAAAGAAAAGATATTTAGAGGGGCTCCTGGGTGGTTCAGTCAGTTAAGTGTCTGATTCTTGATGTTGGCTCTGGTTATGATCTCACGATTTGTAAGATCAAGCCCCATGTTGGGCTCTTCACTGACAGTGTGGGGCCTCCTTGGGATTCTCTCTCTCCCTCTCTCTCTCTCTCTCTGC